AGAAAATACCTAAAACTATTTCATTATTCTCAAATGACTGAATAATTTTCTCAGTGAACTGAATTATTGGCGTTTCTACTGATCTTTCTTTTATATATCCATGTGAGAAGAACTCAACAGGTTGCACTTTTTCATAAATTTCATGACTCTATCACGTATGGTCATATCAAAAAATTAAGTAAAATATGGTAAAACACTTATCAGTTGAAAATTCCCAAATAACTCTCAATTTCCTTTCTAATCGATGAGTGTTGTTAAAGCAACTTTCAGTTGTTCACTAAAGATCGCATATTCAAAAGAGTAATTAATTATATAACAAATGATACTAGCAATATTATCAATACATAATTTTATCAAACTAACTGGTATTTGCGAAACTATGCAATGATAATGGTACTCGTGAGAGGAATTTCTCTCGCTACTTATTCAGAATTGTGTTTTACTCAAAACATATAATTTCAAACTTTAGCTTGTTGATCCGTCCTAGTATAACAGATCTATGAAGATTTGTATTAGCTGTATGTATCTTCAACTGCTTTATCCCTCAGATTGTTGGTCCTGAGAAGATTTCCTAAATATTCAACGGTTTTTCGAATGGGAACACTTTAATATTTTAGGAATATCCTCTTAGGATTATAGAATAAACGGCCTATGCGATGAAGTAGTTGAACAACACATACAGCTAACTCAAATCTACATGGAACAAAATTGTTAACAGTTCAAAAAAGTTTCTACAGATTACAGAATTCACATTTGGCTTCATCTAATTGTTACTTCCTGCTTTGTTAATCAAATAGATTGCTGTCATTCCTATGGTTTTTTCCTTGCAAATAATTGAGCCTCCGAAAATTTCATGGCGTGGTATTAAGTGGTATAAAGTCTGGATTGATTAAAAAAATATGTGATCATAGATATCATTCTCAGTTTCAACAGCCTCATACTGAAATCATGTATTCACTATTGATTTGAAGATATTGTACCTAATTCACTAAAATAACCACTCGAAAACAAAAACTGTAATACAGTACGCTTATAAAGTAATGCATTAATTAATTATTAGCCGAACCAATCGGTTTACGATTAATGAAGAAAAGAGAATTGAAACTTTCTATGATTTTTACCACTTAAATTTGTAACTAACGTTACTGCAGTTTCGTCCTATAAGGACATATTCAAACTTATACATCAAACTAAAAATGATTACATTAGCCCTTCAACTCTATGATGACATTTTTGAGCATGAGTCCAAATAGTAAAGGGGCCAATGGAATTAAAAATGATTTTAGTGGGCCTGGAAAATATAATACCAACAAGTGGTATCATTGGAATTAGTTTGATGTCCTGAGTTCAGAAAATGATGTGAGAGCTTGGTGTTACTAATGATATTGTCCTAATGTCTGGTACATCAATTATATTGTATTACAGCTATCAGTTCTACGTTGCTGATAATATTAGATTCGCTAAAAACCGCGAACAATCAATCAGCAATATGGTGAAAAAGTAATAATCAATGGTCTCAGAAAGTATGGAATAATAATTTCCAAACTGTACTCCAGAAAAGTTTTATGAAGGATTTATTGGGCATTACATGTTATGCAAATGAAGCTTGATACTGGAATGGAAAAAAGTACTACAGTTATAATACTTTCACTCGTTTTGTTTTTGAGAATTTCATTTTTTGATAAATTGCACCACTTTAAGTGGACTAGTCTGTAACTGTTATTATATGCATATATAATGTTCAGAGATTAATCAAAACATTTTTTGCATCCAATTAGAATGTTTTCATTCCATTTTCAAAATAAGTTATAGAAAACAGTACATCTCAAGATCAACACCGAAAAGTAGTCATATGATTGACTTGCACTCATGGACATTGTGGATTAGAAGGTCAAATACTGCAAAATTTCCATTTTCCTTGAAAAAGTGCGAGGTTACAAAATTCAAATTATATTGGGGAAATATAATTATAAACTCGTTCAGATGAGCTATCATCATCTTTGTTTTATTAAAAAAGTTCAACGGAAGGGGTTTGAGAAAAAATAATAATTTGCAAAAATTGACCTGCTTTAGAAATTTCTGAAAATATCGTTGATTTAGCTGATGATGATTTTATGCATTACATTATGGACGCATTGTAAACTACTATACGCATGTTCTTGTTTCATAGCTCAATAGTTTTCGTCAGCCAGTGATTCTTTCCTATATTGCTTCAAGGTCCACATGAAATACTTAGTGTGATATAACACTTCAACCTGACATTGACTGCTGGGTATTGCCAAATATTCGACGTAAGTACGTCGAACATGAATATGTGAGTTTCGTTGTGAGAGGCCAGATTTGTTTTTCTTCAGAATTAATTAGTTGTCCGACAGGATATTTCTGACATGTGCAATTTGTTTTGTTTGAATGTTAAACTATGCAATAAGTGAATTTATAAGATTTCTTGTTCTTCTGTATATCATCAGAAAAAGTTTATTTTCTTCATCAGTTTGAGACCCTTCCTAATAATGTATTTCATTGTGGATAGTATCCTTCATGACATTGGTTATGCAATACATATTCCATAAAACCCTGAAAGGTTGTTAGGTTGAACATGACAATAATGTTGATATACAAACCTAAAAGGTCAGTTTGGCTGGAATTGGTTTTCAATGTTTTTGGATAGCTGTCTATATATACAATCAGTTTCATTCGAGTTCCAGCAGTGTACCAATTTCATGAACTGGTACCATTGTGTGAGCCTTCTATTGTGGATTATTACTATATTCGTATTCAATCCGTTATTTCCATTAGTCACGAAGAATACATCTTTGACGTTGGATGAAGAGACCAGACATGTCTGGAATTGATAAACATTTCTAAATATTCAACACTCATTGAGAGACAACACAATAATTCGTCTGTGATTCATTTTTTGAAGCATTGGTTGTATTCTTAGAAGTAAACTACTTTACTTTTTGAAGGTTCTTAAATACTGTTTTATTGTGGGCAGTTTATGAAAATATTTTTGTGTAATTTTTTGTTAGATGAATCGTTTTTTTTTTCGTGCAGTAACGAAAATTTATTTCAAGGTCAATTGATTGCAATAAAATTTCGTTGCTAGCTGTGATAAGGCACTGCATGTAAGTACAAGTACATGATAATTATATCATGGTATTGAGTTGCTGTATCTCTAATCTCAAGTATTGAAAGTTGGAGAATGCGTTCGAAAATATTGAGTTGAACTCTCTCCGAGATTTCAGTGCATTAGAGATTCCACACTGAAACCCAGTTGATCAGTATAGATACTCAAATAAACACTTCAATTTTCTGATTGATTCCGCCGTTACTTGATGAAGATCCATAGTAATTTCATAAACTACACTTTACGATTTGATCTCCACAAACTTTATTATATATGACGACCTGTTTCGCTAGCACAGTAGCTTCTTCAACAGTGATTTGAATACTAAAAGTTGCTCCTTTCGCTAATATTTATATTCCACAGGTAACTACAATCGAGACTACCTCCATCAAATTACCTAAACCTCTACAATTTTTATATACCTGTGGTACCTCTTCAGTTATGATTACCTGAAGCATATTACCTCACTTCTACATCAATAATATAATGATACTTCCTCGGTTTTTTTTTTAAGAAAAAAAGTTCAATAATGGTGATCTATTCAAATCCAGTTGGTCATTCATTCCAAGCTTTTATTATCTATGTGAAAAATTTCGAACCCTTCGTTAAAAATATGATTTTCTTCTAAAAGATGATTTGAATATGTTGAACTTGTTTTGTTATTTACATATGATGTTCCTGGATTCAATTCCTAAATGTTCTGCCAGTTTAACCAATATATACCTTAGGACATGTTCCACACTTTAATTTATATACTCATGATTTCTCGAATTTGGATGTTTTGTATTTATTATTTTCAACTTTCCTAATGTATTACTTGTTCTATATACAATTTCAATATCTCGTTTCCTCAAAAATGTGAGGTTAATAGGAGATTTTCACTTGACAGTTTACAAAACCGTGAAACGTGTTTCGCTATACAATAATATCTTCAGACGTCAAAATACTTCTATTGTATAGCGAAATACGTGTCGCGGTGTTGTAAACGGACGTATATCGATAGGTCTTGCAAACGAATAAAAAATGTCGATGATATCTCACACACAATTTGTTTTATTTAAATTTAAAGATAGGAAGCGCTTAATAAAAGACCCTATATTCTTTTAGAGAATCATCATAATCATGATACGAAAGTCATTATTTTTCGATACTAACCGTGTTTGATTGACTAATTTGAACACTTTTATTTTGACCTAAGGATGACCATTATATAGGTAAGTTTTTACTTTGGGTAACATTATTGAGATAGAACCTTTCTTAGTCGCTGATGAAGTAGCTTTCTATGGTGAAATAATTTTTAAAATCGTTTGGGTGATTTTTCTGATTATCCATTACAAATTTTTTTAGAATACTAGATTAGATAAAAATAACTAGTGCGTAGAATAAATAATGCAAGAATCCCTGTACAACGGAGACAGAAAACGAAAAATTTCTTGAATGTAGCCCGAATGCATCGCTCAAACTGAGTTTTATGCTACTGCGCATCCAAACCCCGGACAAGCCAAAATTGTCAAACCCGAACAGCTTCAAGTTAACCATCTGAAGTGATTGATAGTATATTTCTAACTCAACAAGTTCATCATTTTCAGTCAAGACAAAATATTGAGTAATGAAAACTAAAAACATTCAATCGTTAATAAAATTATGATTATAAAAGAGGTGTAAATTATCTTTCAACTCTATTACAGTTATTATCAACAGGTAATTTTGTTCCACATGAATTCTCAATTACGCGTTGATAATATGTGATCTTAATTGGTATCTCATTATGTCATCAGTAAACAATTGTTTTCATTTCATTTAAGAACTAATGACGTTCTGTCCATCTACTTAATTCTATTCACTTCAGATTTTAATTGAATTTTTTTTTCAGAAACTCGCTTCGCCGAATAGCTCGCCATGACGACACCGAGTTCTCCCATCAGAGCATCCTGAATGTGATGGAGAAATTCGTGAAAACCGTCAACAAGATGGATGAGACGATTTTAGTGCCTTGTCGACTGATGGATCAAAAAGTGGGCGACGAACAAGATCCGGCCTGTCAAAATCCAAAAACGAAGAGTTCCCATTCGGTTCATCAGCTCCTCAGCTCTACGGATCTCTTCGAAATCTACAGCATGCTGAACAACGTCAAGGACGGTCTTCTATGGGGCCAGACGCAGGAAACAGCTAAAGCCAGTACCATAACCCCAATCACCAAAGGCCACAATCGCAGACCCTCTTCAGTGAGCGTCACTTCAACGAATTCATCCACATCCACTTTGAGTGATACAGATTCGGAATCGGGCAGCAATGAGATCGACTCTGGAATCGATGATACCGCCCAGGAGGAAGGAAAAGTGGAAAGGGTCGCCGAAAATTTTGGAAGACATCTGATTGGGCTAACAACATCTCTCCGTCAGATGACAGAGGCTGCACAGTACCTGACCTGGCGCTACCAGTACGACATTGGGGGCCCAGTCTAATAGTTGAACGTTTGGTTAACCAAATAGGTCGTTAGACTGACGTTTTATATTAAATATATTTTTAGTTAAAGGGTGCGGAGGACGGGGCATCTTTCTGATTGAAAGTTTTGACCCATCTTGACACAAAAAGAGACAAATAGTGCCGGATTGATTCGATGTTCTATGATTATTTCGAATCTGGCATCTTTGTACTAATTGGGAAAATGGTATTCATGATAATATTGTCACTTATATATTGTCATTCTGAATTGAAGTGGTAGTTTAGAAAAAAGGTCTCGAGGGCAAACGAACATAGTTTACTGATTTAATTATCAGTCAAAAATAATGTTGAGACAATAGGAAAATCACAGGTCTTCTGTTGTTTCATCCAATGTTAATATCCAATTCAGTACTAGAAAAATTTGCCATTGATTTGAGTTCAACACATTATATAGAATTTTTAGAGAAAACAGTTTTGAAACTAAATTAATGATCTCACATTTTTCTGATACTAACGTTTAGTTTGAATGCCTAATGGAAGAACAGACAAAAGACTCTATTTTTATTTTATTTTTTTCACTTTTTCTGCTGTTCAGGAACCGTCAACCACAAATGAAAGCTCAGAAATATGTACTGTGGGTGATATTTTTCAATTCAATCTCATTTTCCCAAGTTGAATCTCACTTGAATGATTATCTCAACCATACTTTTGCAGCTGAATGAACTTATCTGATGGAAATACTAATTCCATTTTCTTCAGAGGTCTTAGATTTTCCTGCAACTATCATCAAAGAAATTTTTCAAATAGTACATTCTGCTGCTCCGCATCTGTTTGAAAATCTGTTAAAATCTGATATAAAATATTATCTAATGAGTTGAATAACTTCGTGGCGAAATACAAAAATGAAATTCACATGAGACACTTATGTGAGAATATTAGTTTTGGTAATATCTTCAAAAAGTATAAGGTAGGTATTTAATTTTTTTGTGTTAGGAAGGTTACAAGATAACTCAGAAAGATAAGTCACTCTTTGATTTGAAAAGTGATACCTATTTATATACTAGATTATCTATTTTTGCTCATAAATTTATGAAATTATTTATTTGAAAATATCAAGTATTATTAATTCCTACACTTCTATATTGTTTTGGTTTATGAATAAAGAGGAAGCAAGATTATGAGGTGTGTTTTTATCAGTATTTCTATTTCAAAAACTAGAGTTAGGAGAGTTACCTCTGTTACAAAAAGTTTGAATTGAGATCGCTTTGGTGTATCAAGCAATAAGCATACACTATAAAGTAAATAGACTAGTTGAAATTGAATGTTCACTTGCCTGCCTATGTTAGCAGTTGATTTCCCATTCATGATGCTATATTATAAACTACTACACACGGAGAAATTCTCTTTGTCTAAAGCAACGATTATGTTCAGACTATACATTAGTACACCCTTATATTATAGTCGTCATTATGGCCACTATGTTTTTCAGTTTTCATTTTTTGAAATGTTCTTACTCCTACTGTTACTGGTTACATTTTAGTTATTACAATCAGAATGAAGATATTTTGTTACGTGACAAGGTCTCGGTATTGTTTGAAACTAGAAAACCGTGATACACGGCATGATATCATATTTGTTTGGGACAAAAATGTAATACCAAATTGAGTTGAAAAATACTTTTTAATAAATCATTTCTTGATAAAAAGTAAAACTGGAACCTCTGGCGTAAAATAAATCCAAATGCAAACACATTTCTCAATCACTAGAACTTTATTGATTTTCTCGACGCGCGTTTCACCAACCAAGTTGGCGCCTGCAGGTGATGAAGAAAACTCAGTGGTTAATACGATAAAATGCTTTAGAGTAGTCCAGCAATACTAGAAGACAAAGTTGGTATATGTCGAGAGAATAACGCAAATCATCTGCAACTTTCAAAAGAACTATTGTGCAGCTAAGAATTCAATATTTAATTCTCCCACTCAGTTGAATACAAGATCTACTTGCATAGTCTGAGAAATCAATATTTAAATCTCCAACACTGATCACATTTTCAAATTTTGAACATACTGAGAATGAACTATCTTCAAGCACTTAAAAAACTTACGAGGTGTATATTGGGAGATTTTTATATATGAAGAATCTAACAAACAGTACGATTTTATTGTCAAGGGGGACAATTTCGAAGACTATTTGTCGCCCTCATGGTTCAACCCCTTAGAAGGGGTAGATGTACCCGTAGAATTTCAAATGGGAAGGGAGGGTTGAGTGGCATATCATTTCAATTGGCCTTCAATTCTGCTTCCAATTATACCCTGACTTATTATTTTTTGATGAGCATTTTTTGAAAAATATCGTTCTAAACTAACAGAAGTAATTTTATTAGTACGCCTATACTGAGATGCATAGTTTGACAAAAAATAGTAAGAATATTAGGTGGCTCACATTCTTCAAGACAAAATTGAAATGATTATAATTTATGCAGAAGTTGGAAAGTGCGTACGAAGAGTGGCATGTCTTTTCAACGAAAGACATCCCAATTGTAATGTAAGTCACTGGTATGTGCTGAATAAGTTTTCTCGAAACTAGTTCAGTGACAAATAAAAAAGAAATAACCTCAGAGTACTAAGAAGCAGCTCAAATTGAAGTTTTGCGAACATTTGCTGCAGAGCCCACGAGCTCCTTACGATCAGTATCAGAACAGACGGGAATGTCACGCGAGACTGTAAGAAAATCATTGAAAATACATAAATTTCATCCTTATCAAATGCAGATTAATCAAGAGATATCCACGAGGATGATTATGATACAAGAATAGAGATTTATCTTATCGAGTCAATACCATCCCTAATCTTCTATTAAACAGCTGTTTCTGCGATGAGTGTACATTTTTTCTGAATGGCGATGTAATTAGACAAAATTGTCGCTATTGAAGTGACGAAAACCCACATATTAGGGCAGGGCATACACAACACCTTGACACCTTGGAATGCTTGAAGAGACTATCGATCCTCTTATAACTCGCGAGCAGCTAGAAACTCAAATGGACGCAGAAGGTAATGAACTTTTGTAGAAAGATCTGCTACATTTCCAGCAGGACAGTGCTTCACCTCATTATTTTCTTCCCGTCGGACAGTGGTTAAACGAGAGATTTCCGTATAGATGGATGGCAAAAGGGGAGCCGTTGAAGGGCCTTTGAGATCACCGGACTCAACACTCTTAGATTTCTTTCTTTGGTGGCATCTTAAATACTTTGTTTATAAAACACAAGCTTCTGATATTGAAGAACTTACGAGAAGAATTACAGCAACATGTCAATCAATTCCTAGTGAAGTTTCACGTAATAGAGGGTAGTTCGGTCTTAATTACTGTTTACAGCAATATGGACGACATTTCGATCAGTTTATAAGATGAGCGTAAGTAGATTTTATGTTTGAAATGTCTTTCTCACAAATTATATTCTATATTGTAAAAGGACAATAAACAACAAATAAAAAATCCCACGCGTAATGCATTCATTCCTGTCATTCAAGGGTTGCAACGGTGCCACCTACTCTTCTAACCATTTTTATCAAAAGGAGTCAATACAATAATGCATCTCAGAACAGGCAAATTCTAATTACATGTGTATGTTCAGAACACTATTTTTCGAAAAATGATCATCAAAAAATAATGAGTCATGGTACCATTGGAAACATAATTGAACGCCAATCAAAATGATGTGCCACTTGACGCCCTTTCCCATTTGAAATTGTAAGGGTAACATCTACCTGTCCTAAGGAGTTGAATCACGAGGGCTACAAATAGTCCTTCAAAGTGTCTCCCTTGACAATAAAATTGACCTGTTTTTTCGATTCCACATATTGTTTACTGGAAGGAAGATTTTAAGGGTGAGAAGTTTTCAAATTGACACCCTGTATAATTCGCTCCAGATTCAGTTATTGTATGTATTGTATATATACACTTTCAAATTACGCATAGCCAAAAACAGGATAGATAGTTTTCATTGAAAAAGAGGTAAAACATTGAAAAGAAAATTGAAATGGCTTCTAAGAAGTTTTATTAGCTAGCGGTGAAGATGATTCCCTCTTGATACTGGCCTCAGTTATTCAGGTACGTTTGAAAATGGTTTTTCGTTCTTCACTACAGATGAATCGTGGTTCTATTCTTCTAGGCTAAATTTCGTGTTGCTCAATATCAATTGATTTTGCCTGGTGATTTTGTTCAATTATTGGCATAGAACTTTATTCACAGTCTGTTGTTCATAGCTTAAATCGTCTACAACATAAATATTTTTTCTTTTGAGTTTAGTATATTGGCTTAATATAATTTCATAAATCCAGCAGGCAGCAGATATTTTTGAACCGACAGTTTTTTTATTTGCCGCTTATACTGTCATACCTTTTATGTACTGTTATTTTCCCTTCAAGAGCCCTATCTAAATTAAGAAAATGTTTAAATATTCCTTCACACAGAAAAAATTATTTTCTCTTCGAAAGCACAATATTATTTTTCTTGAAGAGCCTGTTGCAAAGATACTAATACAATAACTACAGCCTTGCCCCCTCCATGGGGTGTGGCGAACATAACTATTCGGGAAACGCATGCCAGTATAAAGTGCTGGAGGGTAGGTGAGAAATAAAATGTCTCCCGTGGATCATATATCAGATGGGAGATTAACTCTGATGAAAAATTCACAATCTTGAAGTATTCTTTGTGCTCAAAAGATGAATAATACTAGCATTGAATATCTGGAACGGTCAAATCTAGTCTCACTAAAGTGAGTCTACTCTGTTATACTAGAAATCACTTCAGAGCATATTCGTGGGAACAAGATGAACCAAGAACTTTCAAATATGTTAGAATCAGAGACCAACCAGCAAATTGTGGTCCCAGAGCCATTTCATCAATTCATTTTTATCAATGAATTCCTTTTCAATGTTGAGAGCCATCAAATCGGTGAGAAATATTATAGAGGAATATCTGATAGAAAGTAGTAGCTCTTTGCAAAGCAAGAAAATACAAATATTGAAAATGTTCAATGTATATTTATATTTATGAGTATATTTCACTGAACTGAACAAAATAATGAGTTATGAAATGCAGAGATTTATGACTGAAATTGCAGAACCCTTGAAGTAACAAGAAGTTATCGAAGCTAACACATGGGCTGAAAAGTCCCGGGCCTAAGGAAGAAAACACTTTTTTTTTGTTCAAGATTGACTTTATTCATCAACGTAATCTCTATCAGAGGCCACACAATCATTTTGCCCCAAAATTGGCCTCAGTTTCAGCATTAACTAACCTCTTCATTCTAGCAAAATTTCTTATCGGTGAGCATATTTTGAGGTCGTCGAACAGCCAGTAGTAGCTGGGAGCTGAATTTGGCGAATATGATATATGCGGGAGCATATATTATCCATCTGTACCGGATGTAAACACCATATCCGTGAGATGAAATCTTTACTTTTGAACTACTCCCTCATATCAAAAATATCACCTCAAACCCGAAAAACATTTTTCATCAAGAACATATAAAATTTCTCAGTGCAACAAAGCATGAGGTGGAACAATTGCATCTATAAAATACTAGCGATTCGCCGCGGCTCTGTCTCGAATCGTTGCTAAACATAAGGTGCTATAGGGCGAGGCGCGACCTTCGACGGGCTATTTATGGGCATGCGCCGCCAGCCCCCCGGTCGGTACCACCGCAAGCGCTATGTCCCTGCATTTTAAATCTGTAATGTCCTTGAAAATATTCATTTGAATTACATGATCTAAAGGGCCATATCAAGGTACTTGATTGAATAAAGATTAATGATGTATTTATGATGTACTGTTTGGAACATTCGGTGTAGTAATGAATATTACTGGAGTTTTTTCCCAACACCAAATCGTTATTTTCACACCTCGACACGTGTTTCGATCACCAAGTGATCATCATCACCAAGTGATCATCTTCAAGAGGAAGATGATCACTTGGTGATCGAAACACGTGTCGAGTATTGCTTAAAATCGCTTCGTAGATAAGCCATTATTTCTAGAGGATAAAAAATAATTGTTATCGTGGGTTATCTCTAAAGGGGCCCTAGATGGTCAATCATTTTGATCAAAAACTCGAGTCAATCGATTGACTCAAGCGTGATTGGCCGTGTAGGAACCTGTTTGACGCTTGAAGCGAGGCATGATGGTGATTAATAGAAAGTTTTAATGACTCAAGCGGTTGGTGGAGGTGGTTGACCGTCTAGGGCAATTTTCGTCAAGCATTGCGTCAGTCACTAGGTAGAAACCATGGCGTCCGCTACGGAAAGTGAGCTTCCCAAAAACTCTGAGCGGGAATTCATTAACCTGTTGATTGAATAATATCGTGATTGTCTGGAGTTATGGAAAGTGAAGAGCAAGTATTATTACAACAGAAACAAGAAAACTGCATCATAACCATGTACCACTCCTTCGACCACCGTCGTTTCTTTTTCTGTTGTCTTTTCTGCTTGAGGACAACCAATGTGGGAGAGAGGAAGGCCAAATTCGTGTTCGATACCATTGCTCACCGAAATGAACCAGCAGCAAACGAACAACAAGTGTGTACTGGTCCCATTTCTAGTGAGAAGAAGGTTTTGCAGGCTCATTGCAGTTGATTGAAGCGCGCGTCAATCAATTGACTCACTCGTTTGATCAAGCACATATACCATCGCGGAGTTTTTTATAGACCTTTTTAAGGTGTACAATTTCTTAGTACATTTTTTGATCTCGTAGGATTCAGCCAGCGTTTGCAATGTATACACTCAAAAAAAATTTTTTCGTGAAACCAGTAACTTGCGTTCATGGATAGATATTCATAATCAGAATAAAAATATTTTTGGTCATCATAAACCGTTTATGAGACTTCATTAATTTGTTTTGTGCATATCAACGTTCATCAATTATGATCTATATGAAATGTCATTCAGTGTCATCATGGAAACAATTTTTCGAATAAATGAACAATGTTGTTTGAGATGATAAATCCATTTATACCCAAAGATTCATTGTATACATAAAAACATTCATTAATGATAATCATGAACTATTTATGGTAAAGTAAAGTAAATTTTATAGTAATAATGTTTTTATATACACCATGAATCAAATTCACGAAAAAAAATCTTCGAATAAACACATGAATATATGATAAACAGCGTTCACTAAAGGAATTAATACATTCATGAAAACCATGACAATGTTTATTGAAAGCACAAATCGATTTATCGATGTCATGAAGCACAAGCAAGGGTTTTACGTGAAACCGAATATTGGCTCCAGAAAATATGCATACACGTTAGAAAAATTATTTTATAATTTGAACAGATATAGCGAATAACTCAAATTCAACGATAATCGTTGAATAACGGCACTTTTCCTGATAATGCTACTGTTATTTTTGAAATTGTTTTGTATTTGATGGAGTATTCATATTGCAGTTTCTTTTCCTAAAGAACATGCGGAAAATTGCGTACCTTGTTTGAAATATGACAATCTACCATGAAATAAAACACCTGTCACCTGAATACGAGAGATTCATCTCTCGCAATCATATTTGAGGATCACAAAGAATTGATTGAAAACATAGGATCATAGAATATATTGTGGATGGAGAGAAGCACCAACTATAGTGCCTAATCCTTTAAGTCAAACTAGCGGGAGCTGTTACTCCAGAGATCATTTACCAATTATCATAAGAACATCTAAGAGGATCCTGAATAAGAATAGATCACGATAGTGGCAACAGAAACTTGCAAATTGGTCCTTATTTTCAAAAAAAAAAATTCTTCATTTCCAATTGTCCGACGACATTCAGGAATCTGTCGACACCCCCATTGCAGCGAAACAAAGTTTTCCACTAACCACTGGGAATTTCCCAAGGTGGAATCAAGAAATAAAGAAGACATTTCCCGAGAAAGAAAGAGTCCTCAACAAATCCAATGGCTATCCCATTGAAGAGAACATGATAAAGTTACCATAGCCACCATTCTAACTAGTCAAAATTCATCATGGAAGGAATATATCTCATCGTTCACGTCTTCAACGAGTAGGTACATCTCAAGTGAGGAACAATTTCACAAATTGGGAATGGAAAAATAGATAAGATTGATGCTCCTACAAATATGAGCAAGGGCTCATTCGATTTGGAATGCGCCATATGAAAATGTATTCAAAGGTTTTACGGTAGGTGAAAACTTCTAATTGTTTCTAACAAAATTTTTTTAGGTGAAAAATGTTATAGATATCGAAGAAATGAGGGTAATGAGGTATTAGACCTAACCATCAGCTCACATTCTCTGAGCAACAAGATACACCATTGGTGTATCTACTGAACCTTCTTGTTCAGACCAATATTGAAACAGGTCTAAGACCAGTAGTGGAATATCGTGACTCAAAATCTACTGATTGGAGTGGGTATAAAAACTGTCTCCAATCGTACTTTGAGGACGGATTCATTACTATTCACAGTTGTAACGATATAGATACAGTATCGACGCAATTTTGCGACGCAGTGATCTCATCCTATCATGAGAACTGTCCACTGAGGGTTAAAAGAGATAACCACAACTCTTCTTGGTGGAACATAAGCCTAGAAAATGAAAGAAAAGAAGTCGGCGTTTATTCAATCGAGCTAAAGAGTCAGGTAACTGGGAGCTTTATAAAACCACTCTAACGTTATACAACAAGTATATCAGAAAGGCAAAACTGGAGTCTTAGAGGAAGTTCTGTGGGACTATCTCTGATTTACCTCGCAGCACAAGAATTCACAAGATTCTCTCTAGAGAGCCGACTGCTGAAAATGGGTCGCTTAAACGACCCGATGGAACATTTACGACCTCTAGTAAAGAAACATTAGAGCTTTTGATAAAAACCACTTTCCTGGAAATCTGACTATTGATAACAACAGACCTCCCATCTTCGAGGGCGCTAAACGCCCAAAAAACAACGATTGGGACGTCGCAAAGAAGGTTATCACAGCACCGGCAATTGAATCGGCTATCAAATTTTTTCAGCCCTTCAAATCTCCCGGAGAGGATGGTATATTTCTAGCTCTTCTTCAAAACGGACTGGAAATAATTTAACATATTCTCACAAAATTGTATAGAGCTAGTCTAGCGTGGAACTACATACCACCCAGTTGGTTGGCAGCAAGGGTGGTATATATACCTAAAGTGGATCGGAGAGACCCCACCCCAAATCGGTACGACCAATCATCCTTCCTGCTGAAAGGACTTGAAAGGATACTGGACGGACATATCAGGAAGGTGTCGCCAGAACGGTACCTGGGGATGTCTAGTAAAGATGACACCTGGCTGGGAGTGGAGTCTTGAGACACCATCAAATCCCAGGCCGCCTGCCGTACCGAGACCAGAGCTGGTGGGTGCTAGTCCTCCAGATCTATCTATCAAGCTTCCTTCAAAAAGGAAACTCGGTTCCAGCATTTCAGTTTCACGTAGCTCCTTTTCCATCACCATACGATTGAAACCAATAGTTCGGCTGGATTATTAGATTCCCTGCTTTTAACTAAGCTAATTGCGCCGCGGGGGTACAACTGGCCACCACGATGGCACTAGGCCGGGCCAGAGGGTTCCCTACGATCCCTACTCTCTAACAGACACACACTTCGCGCCTTGACCTACCTAAAATCCCTGTCTCCGAAGATGAGAACGGCCTCCGGAGGCACACGGACGATTTTAAGCCCCCAGACAGCAGTGCAATGGAGCAACTCACGTGAGTTACTCCGTAGTTGTACTGGATCGGCGTACCTCCAGATGTATTCGGGCCTGGGTAGGTCGAATACGTCGAAGGAGGCCGGCTAGTTGGTCCCTCGATGACGAAGCGTTGGAATCGAATTCGTTTGTTGTAAAAAGTCCTGAAAAGGACAGGTTTGAACTGAAAAATTCAGTTTTAATTATTATCTGCAGCTCCTGGTATACGTTGTACTCCTTAGTATAGTCCTGAAAAGGACGACTCACAGAACTACGTCGTTCTATTATAGTATCACAGCAGCGTCCTCGTAGAGATTGTATCCACACATCCAATATCTCGGAAATGTCCTCCTTTGAAATTTTATTTATCGCCTTTGCTTTGAAAAAGGCAATTTTTAGCGTTGATTGATAAACGAGTCCACTTAGGGAAGTATCTTGGGGGATTTGTTTGTACTTCCCTAATCTCTGAAAAAGAAACTTGCAGCCGTAGACTTTCTTTTACAATGTTTCTAACTTTCATACCAACTTCCAATATTATAGTCATATGCTAGTTATCAATAATGCTCTCTCACGAAGTGTACTCTAATAAGCCAGAGCCCGAGTCTCAGACTGAGTCTCTCTAGCCTGCGAAACGCTCTATATTTATCCTTCCGCGGGGCGCGCGCATAGGCTCCACCCACCTATTATTCGTCCTTTGTCCTAACCTGATTCGTCAATTACTGAAATATATAGTGGAGTTGGTAACACCCCCCCGCTCTAAGAAGTCGCTTGCAGTTTCTTTTGATCAGAGACCAGGAAGTGCTCTTTATTAGGTTAAAAATCAACAAAATCTCAACAAGTTATACAATAGGTCCTTACTTACTAAAGTTACAATATTTCAATCCCCTTACTTAATACTTAACTAAACTATACAAGATACGTTGCCCAGTTTCCCTGCCTGTCTCTCCTTTCAGGCTCTACTGGATAACCACATTACTACATAAGAGATCTTATCTAACTTAATTCTAAGCTAATTCTTTTATATTTACAGAACGCGGGTCAAGGTGCTCTTGACCTTCACGTGGTGATGGGGCAAGTCTCAGATCATCCCCGTGGATGACCCGATCTACACCACCTTTATTTACTACGTAGGTGCTGGGACCGAGTTGCCTCCGGACTTGACAAGGAGTGGTCCAAGTCGGGCCAAAATTCTTGCGGGCTTTTCGATCGCGATTTCTGCACAACACCCACTGGTCTGGTGCGAACGTAACAGTTGGTACCTTATCCCTGTCAGGAAATCGCTTGCTGCGATATGCGCGAGAACTCTGCTGGGCTTCCTCTGTGCGTTGGGCACGGTTCTCGTTTAGAGACCTTCGCCTCCTTTGTAGAGAAGTGTCCGAATCGCCAGGCCGCGGTAATTCGTAACCCAGCAAGAGTTGGCAAGGGGTGACGTTAGACGCAGAATTGGTTCGGGTTCGCAAGTTGAAGATGATTTCTGGGAGGCATCGCTCCCAGTGCGACTCGTCTCTGCCTATCAAGGCAGCTCGCAACATCTTTTTCAACTCTTGAACTCGCCTTTCCACAGGGTTTGCCTGCTGGTGGTATCCCGGGCTAGTTCGTATGATAATTTCGTTCTTTTGGCAAAATTGCTCCCAGTTTCTGCCTAGGAACATCGCAGCACTGTCTGTTATAACCACCTCCGGAAATCCCCAACGATAGCATACTTCTTGCGTAAGAAACTCTACCACTGTAGCAGACTGGACGGACTCCGCCGTGCGGACTTCCACCCACTTGCTGAAACAATCAGTAGCCATCATTATATATCTGTTCCCCTTTTCGGTATGTTTATAAGGGCCAAGTACATCAACCGACACCATCTGCCAGGGACGGTCTGGCTCGTTTGGTCGCAAAGGGGCGGCTTCCTGAGGAGGGATTCGCTTAGTTGTCGCACAAGTCAGGCACGTATTAACATATTCCGAGATCTGTTTTTTCATATTTGACCTCCTCACACTATCACTCGTACGTTGTAGCTCAGCGACCTCCTCGAACCAAGTCTGCATTTGGTTCAACGACTCGGGGTCACTGGCCACCACACAAACCAAGTCACACACATTGAATAACTCGCCCAGCTCGTCTGCGAGCTGAAGCAAGATTTCATCCTCAACTTCGTTGTGTGCCTCAGGCTCTTTATGGGGAAAGAACATTCTCTCCACATCTGTGTCGAGGTCCATATTAGTTTGGTTCTGATTCGGATTTCGGGATAAAAAATCATACCCGGAATATGATCTACCTGGAAGTCGTACTCCTGTAGGAGCAAGGACCAACGCGTCAGCCTTTTCGTCCTTCATTTTATTCAACCATAATAGAGCTGAATTATCTGTGAAAAGGGTAAACTTTCCGTCTTGGAGATAATGCTTATATTTCTTTATCGCCCACACCACCGTCTCGTTAATGAGATACTTCTCCTAGTATCCCCTTGGGGATCCATCTGGAAAAGTACTGCGCCTGTGCCAATATGACTGCCGTCAGTTTGAAGGCCATACGGGAGGTTGGGGTCGGGACGTGCCAACTCCAAAGGCTGTGAGACAGCTTCTTTTATGGTTTGAAAACTCTCCTGCGCTTCTTTGTTCCATGAAAACTTTCTCTTTTTATCAATGGGATCAGTTAGGGATGTACTCCCTAAGCCATTCCGCTGTGCCTAGGAAGGCGCGCACTTGCTTAATATTCGTGGGAGCTGGAAATTCCTGTACATTCAGCACGTGTTTCTCCTGTGGTCTATTACAATCCTTGGAAACCACCCGGCCAAGGTAATTAAGGGTGCTAGACCCAAACTGGCATTTGAATGGAGACAACCAGAGCCCATGAAGCCGGAGTCGCTCTAGGATTAGCTGCAAATGGCCACAGTGTTCCTGCAAGTCATGCGAGTACACAATGATATCGCCCAAGTAGACCTTGCAAAATTTGTCAACAAAACATACCAGGACTTCGGACATCAGCTTTTGAAACGCGGCAGGCCCGTTCTTGAGCCCAAAGCTGAGAACCTTAAACTCGTACACCGCTCCATCCGGTCCTCCGAATGCGGTGTACTTCCTAGATTCTTTGTCTAACGGGGCCTGCCAGAACCCGTTTGTGAGATCCAACATCGTAAAGATAGATGCTCTACCCATTTCGCGCACTGTCTCTTGAATGGGAGGTAGATAGGGGGCCTCAGTTATGATTAACTTATTTATCTGCCTATAGTCCACACAAAACCGGAGTTTCCCCCCTTTCTTGGGGACCAATACCACCGGCGAGCAATAATGGAAAGTGCTTCGGGCAATCACTCCTGCCTCTAATAATTTCGAGATTTCATCGTGAACGATTGCCTTCCGCACTTCCGACATCTTCCCATAACGGGGTTGACGAAATGGTCTCCTCTTTCACTCTTAATTTGTGGACTATCGCTTTGGTCTGAGGCTGACGGATCGTCTCCTCGAAGACATCAGGGAACTGTTCCAGTGTCTGTAGGAGCGTATCTTTGCTCTCAGGGGAAAATTGGGAGTCTTCCAGCTCCAGCAGGATACCCTTCTTTGGGAAAAAACTGTGTGCTGGGTTTGTCTCGAAATAAATACACAGCCTTGGGGCTTGTCCGAAATAAATCGACCCTCTACCCACGTCTATGGTGGCTTCGGTTTTCTTTCGAAAGGGAAGACCCAATATTACTTGTTCTTGTAATTGGGTAAGTACAGTGAATTTGGTCTGGAACTCTCGTTCTTCGATTTCCACCGCCAGTGTGATTTGGCCTAAGCTCTGACTTATATTACTTTCACATCCCATAAACACAGTAGCTGGGTTCGGGAGCCTAGTTAAATCGAGGTTGGCTATTACACTGGCTTGGATAAAATTGCTTGAGGCTCCAGTATCGATGAGGGCAGACATAATCATTGAATTTATGGTACAGGGAATTCTAGGGAGATTTCTCCCTATCAGCGGCCGTTGTTCGGCCAGTGACATATAACACTCCAAATCGGAAAAATTTGAGACGTCTTTGCAGTGGTTCTCAGCTATTGGAGCCTCCGGCTCTCCACTGCTAGGTGCTCCGGCCCCATTTAGTTTTCCACCTGTTCGTGGGTGATCGCTTCCACCACATTGTTGTGGCGTTCACGACGGTCAATGTTCTCTGCCTGTCGAGGTGCCGGCCTGTCGTGATCGGCAGCCCTCTGTGGGGGACGATAAACTTCTGCCGAGCTAGTGGTCCTATAATTATTCCATCCGCTTTGATTGCGGGCTACATTATTCGAGGTTGCTTGATGCCCTTGACAGAAGAAGTTGATCTGCAAGCTTATGCAAATGACCTTGTCATCCTGGCAAGGTCCATCTCGGGAAGGGTAGCTTGTAATATCCTTCATAGCACGTTGGACGATGTTTACAGTTGGTGCCTGAGGGAGCAGATGTCTGTCAACCCCAGTAAATTGTGTTAATCCCCTTCACCAAGAGGAGAAAATTGGACGGTCTAACGCCAATTTCCCTCAGTGGTGAGGTAATTCCATTTGGAACGGAGGTGAAATAATTTGGCATTGTCCTTGATAAAAGACTCACCTGGAACGCTCACTTCGGGAGAAGGAAAAATTAAGAGCAGATAGTTGTTGGTTTACAGATGCATCAAAAACACCTTCCGGTTATGGTGCAGGTGTTTTTAGTCGCAGACCCAGGACAGAGATATCTACCTGCCTAGGAACTCATGCGACTGTATTTCAAGCGGAAATTTACGCTACTGAATTGTGTGCGGAGAGATTGGAAGAATCCAACCTCATACACAAGTCAATAAAAATATTCTCGGACAGTCAATCGGTGTTGGAAGCTCTTGGCTCCTACCGAGCAACGTCTAAATTGGTAGCAAATTGACAAAAACGACTCTCCTCGATAGGAAGACTTATCAGATTGTCTCTGGTCTGGAATCAGGTTCTTAGAGTTTGGCAGATACGTACTGTTACCATCTGACCTGAAAGACCACTCAGCATACAAACTAATCGCTTTCGTTAAGAAGCTGGGTTTATTTGGCCGAGTGTGAATAGGTGTGAGCCACAATAAACCCTTGCGGGTTGCGGTGGAGAGTCGAATAGGCCCACTCACTTTAGACCTAACCTAACCTACGATGATATGCATTGGGTCTTTTTCATATAGAATACATTGATGTTTGAAATAATCTATTGTAACTATTCATAATTATTACAGAAACAATGACTGAACTTCAAAAATATTCAACAGAAGTCGAAATGTGGAATCAAATGTGCCAAGTCATTTGAATACTTTCCGTGACAGTATCTATAGAAGAGAGACAAATCCCCCAGACTATCAAAGTTACAAGTGATGTTCGTGTCTCCAATCAAGCGGATGACTCTTTTTGGGATGGAATCTAGCAGCTTCAGGGTATGCTCAAGGGTGGAGTTCCCAACATACATGTAAGAATAAAAAAAAAAACTTTCGACAAATAAAAATTGCTTGTCCCTTGAATTGACTGTTCAAATTAGCACCCACCTGCATCTTGGCAGTAATCGAACCGACGATGACATTCTTCTTGAATATTGTGAATCATTTCTGGAGTTACAAATTTTCCATCTGATCATCTTCATAAATTTCTCACAATGTATTGAATTGAATGAGCAGTAAATTATTCTTTAATTTTGTTTTCTATCAAAACACTTGAAAAAGTTTATGAATACATGCATGTTCAGTACTACTGTTCTTTCTACTGTAATAGCTAGAAAAAACAGAAATGAAAATCGGAATTAGACACAAGAATAATGAGAACTAAAACTAACTATAACAAAAAGTATAGTTTTCAAAAATCATTTAGGTCAGTTCCTTGCATTTTCTTATCAGGATTATATTGCATGAAATAAATTAATAAATAGTGGCCCCGATCAACTGAAACATAAGATGCCTGTCGGAATATTATTCATGATTGGATATGAAGATAGAACCAAAACACAACAAGAGGTTTGTAAAATGTATTTTGTATTGAATAAATTACGTACATTCTTCTTCTTGTTTTTGGCACCATATATAGTTAATATTTTTAAGGTATGTGTCTCTGGATAGAGAATTGAATAACCTTCTAAATGAACTATTACATGACTGTTTTTTAGTTCACATGCTGTATGAGTGAAGTGTTAGCAATGCAGAATAAAGGGCTGGTTGCCAACTGCTCCAAAGCCCATTCAGCGAACATACGTCTATGGTCGTTTACCTGCAGTTCCTGGGTCAGTTGAATTTTATACGGGTAAAGACCCAAGTTACGACGTAAAATTTTGTGTGCAAAAGTTGAGGTCTGCGAAAAGCCGAGTTCTTGTGAGCGGCTGGAAATGAACTGCCTCGGATTCTCCTGCTCTCTCTCACAGACAGTAGGGATGTTTTCGGCAGATCTTGCGTTTTATCGACGTTTACTGAACCAGTGGATTCAAATTTATCTACCACATTTCGAATAGTCCTCTCGGTGGGAAGATTATGGCGACCGTGAAATGGGCGAAGCGCGCGGTACGTTGCCCGAACAGAACACCCACTTTGATGAAGCAGTTCCATTATTTGCATGTGTTGTTGAATGATATGTCCGTTCATAAGACTATTCCTTAGCTCATACGTCCACTCAAAGCTTCCGGTGGAATTGCGGTCGTCATCTATTGTCAAATCCTCGTTATATGCCCCACCAACTTGCCTTTGACTTCTTATTCGACTTATTATCCGGTTGTGATCATTCATAACCAAGAATAGGGTCTATCGGGTGGTTAGCCCAATAGACCTACGGCCGGCATCGGAGGAAGAGATTAGTTCTCCTCATTTGGTCATGGTCAATGGTCATGTATTGGCTCTATAGCATGGTGGTTAAACCGTTGATAATATATGCATCTATGGTCTGTTGGACGAAGATCCAACAAAATACTGTTATTAACAATCTTAATAAACATGATCCAAAGACTTGCATGTTTTGGAATAACTGTAGCAATGAAAGCCACTTGAACAAAAATTTCGGAATATGTGAAGGAACTTATATGAAACCTAAATACATGTTTATCTCAAACTTCGGAGTTGAAGTCTTAAACCGTGAAAAATGAGTGAGTAGACATTCCGAGAAATGATAATATAATGTCTTCATTGGAACGACATCTTATATGGAACATATTACATATTATATAGAACATATGTTTTTATCATTCATCCGGCGAAGTTCAGTAGGTCACTACGTGAAATAGTGATTTTCTTAAGAGAATAATTTAAAACTATATGTGGTTGGGATATAATCATAAAAGCAACCAGAATTTAGGCAGATACATTTATTCAACGACACATCAGATTTGACCTTTTATGGGAAGTTGATGAATTTTTGTCGTGAACTTATAAAACGAGGTATTCATAATGTCTAAGGAAAATGCATTGAGGATAGCGGCTGTGTCGTGAGTTGTGACAGTCAGATATGAACCATAAATCACATCGCCGAAATTGAGTTGGGACAAGATTGGTAATTTTGATAAAAAAGCAATTTTAGTTCTTTGATTCAGAATATGACATGTACCATGGAACGGTATTGATAGTCCATGTACACACCCAAGTTTCTGTCATTGTCCACTATTGAGAGGATCTCATTGTTAAAATTAATCACACAATCCTTCAGTACTTTTGAGCATTTAGACTTAGATCCAAACGATAGGATAACAGATTTGAAAGGGTTTATTTGGAGTGGGTTCTTTAGATAACGTTACTGAATTCTGGATATCTGTATTCAGATTTTCGACTGTCCAGTACAGGCGCGCACCCACGGGGGGGGGGGGCTAAAGGGGCTGTAGCCCGCCCTCAAGAAAAAAATTACATTATGTTTTTAAATCCGCCACATCGCACACATACTGCATATTGGTTTGCAGGAGTTACATTTCACAACAACTACGAAATAAATAGCTGCATTCCTATTCCTAAGAAATGCACTGAAAAATAAATTAAACTTATTATTCCAAACTCCGCAATGGAACATTTCTCGCGCGCGATTGCTTTGTTTGTTTGTGGTGGCGGGTGGGAGACACCGGTTTTTCCCTTCCAGTCTTTGGCTCATGTTCTTTGTTCGCGTTAGCGTAGCGGAAGAAATTGGCTAGTCCTGCTCTTGATGAACCTGGTACCTCAGCCTCAAGCACCAGCCATACACCAGACAATGTCAACATAGACTGCAGCAGTAAAATGGACATTTCTTTGTACAAAAATAAGCGGCTATCAGGCACAGAGAAGTTACACGTTTTGGAAAACTTGAGGGCTCCATCTTCCAACTACAAGTTTCCAGCGACGACTCATGGAAAACAGGAGAGGAAGTTCTTGTATTCCTGGTTGCAAAAGTATAAGTGGTTGTCATACTCTGAAATAGAAAACCGGGCTTACTGCACTTATTGTGTACTCTTTGCTCCAACTGAAGTGGGTATGAGATCATCCCAGAAAATAGGCCAGCTTGTCCAAGAAGGATGCCAAAATTGGAAAAAAGCTATTGAAAAATTTGAGTCACTTTTTCAATTACAATACCACAAACACGCCATGATCGTTCTCAACAATTTGAAAACAGTAATGGAAGAGAAGATGAATGCCATAGACAGATCTTTAGAAGTAGGCAAAGCCAATCAGGCGAAAGAAAATGCGGAGAGGTTAAAACCCATAATAGACACGGTAATTTTTTGTGGACAACAGGGAATAGCTCTTCGAAGCCACAGAGACTATAGAGACTTCAACTTAGACGCAATGCCAGATGATAATGAGGAGAATTTCAGAACCCTATTGCGGATGCGTATTGAAGTAAGTGCTGAAAAATTAAGAGACCATTTCATATCATGTGGTAAAAATGCCACTTATATAAGCTGGAACATCCAGAACGAAATCATTGATGCTTGTGACAAAGTAATAAAAAGTCACAGAGTCAAAGATGTTAAAGATGCTACTTTTTTTAGTGTGTTAGCTGATGAGAGTACAGACGTGTCGACTCAAGCACAGGTTTCCCTGTCTGTGAGGTATGTCTCTCATAACACGAAAGATGGTTATAAGATTAATGAAAAGTTTTTGCAGTTTGTGCCTCTTGAGTCAACGACTGGCGAGGTACTTGGAGAAACACTCTTGAAAGGGCTTGAAGAGTGCAATCTTGAAATAAAAGATCTGAGAGGACAAGGATATGATGGCGCATCAGCCATGAGCGGAAAGGTCAAAGGTGCTCAGGCTATTGTGTGCTGCAGAACCGCAAGGCAGTATATGTACACTGCGCGTCACACACCCTTAACTTAGCCATTACAAATGCTGCAGAGGTCAGATCTATCAGGAATTGTTTTGACACTACTGAAAAAGTATGGTCTTTTTTTAACACACCAAAGAGGCAAAATGTTCTCCAGAAAAAAATTGAAACCCTAGCACCAAAAACTGAGAAACAAAAACTCAAACAGCTATGCCCAACCAGATGGGTTCAAAGGTATGATGCTATCCTCGTCATGAAGGAGCTCTACAACCCTATCATTTCATCCTTAGAAAAAAACAAGTGTTGGGATGATAAGGACTCATCTTCATGGGCCGATGTCATTCTGACAGCTATATCTCAGTCAGAGTACATTGTAGCTCTAGTATCTGCTAAAACCTACTCAGCTACACTTTGATATTGTGTCAAAAGCTACAGTCAACTGATGCGGATCTCTGGGCCGCTTTGAACTATGCTGACTATGTAGTTCATAGTCTGAAGTCAACAAGGAAAAAAGTTGATGAAGAGTTTTCAGTCTTGTTTCAAGAGAGACAAAAAATGGCCGAATTGAATGAAACTACAATTAGTGTTCCAAGGATTGTTGGGAGGCAGACACACAGAAGCAATGTCTCAGCCGAAAGCATAGAATAATTTTATAGAATTACCGTATTCATCCCCTGGATTGAAAGTTTTATTTCCTGCATCGAAGAATGTCTCTTAAAGCACAAGAACATTTTGAAAGGGTTTCACTGCTTGCTTCATACTTATTCAGAGAATAGTGAAGAAAGTAAAGACATGAAAGAGGCTTTTATGAAGTTGATTGAAGTTTATGAAGAAGATTTGGAAAACAACAGCTTAAACGTGCTGATGGCAGAAATGGAAGTTTGGCAAGCTTTTCTCCAACGAAATAAGGAACACCACGTCAATGCAATTGATTTTTTAAATATTTGTGATAAAACAATCTTTCCAAACATCCATATCTCGCTCAAGATTTTCATCACTATACCTGTATCGACCAGCACAGAAGAGCGCTCCTTTTCCACTCTTCGGTGAATCAAGTGATACCTAAGAAACACGATGTCTGAGAGTAGGCTAAATGGCTTAGCCAATCTTGATATCCACAGGGAAATTCCAGTTGACACAGACAGTGTATTATCCATACTGACGAAGACCCAAAGAAGACTCAATTTTGTTTTATAAGACAGCTAAGACAGCTAATTGCAATTTGTTGCAATTGTTGCAAAATGTTTGTTAATCGCATTTAGGATCACCAAGATGATCCGGTATCATTTTTCGAAAAAAATTTCTGGAGTGAATCCCAATGTCATCAAGATCTTTCCACATACATTTTTGGGTGCTTGTTTGAATTCTGAACTGTGAGTATGCTTTCTCTCAGTTTTCAGACCAATATTGACGTGATCTCTGAGCTTTCATTCACGAAATAAAGCTGTAATTAGTTAGCAATTCTTTCTTTTTGAGGAAGGTTTCATACATACAGTCGATCCGTGTTAAAATTATTAGACTCCCAGACACTTTGCTGTGTGGGTTGGATCTTTTCTGCACTCATGAGAGGCAATACCGCGGAACCGGTCTGTAGGTAATCTACTCGAATGATTTCAGCATGGTCCTGCTTCAGGATGAACGAGAAACATCTGCCAGACTAACCTCTGTGAGATATCTTGCAAAGCGGACCCGTGTCGTTCCGCCTAACGGTCAATGAATGAATAGACTCAGGATTTTAAAATAGATACAAAATCATTAAGTACGATAAAATAAATGATATTGGTACAGAAATGAATGGGAATTGGTAGGAAGAGTGCACTCTTCAGTGAAGCACCATGTGACATACATGTGAGCTGTCAGTTGCGTTTTATTATAACATGTCACTATTATCACTGATGCTTTGCCTCTTTCATTATTATCATTTTCATTGATAGAGTATCATATTTCAATACTTATTATCCTATTCCCAATGAAGATAGATCCAAAAACACAAAAATCATAAAAATTGGTCGTGCCGTTTTTGAGTTCTTTCATTATTTTTTTTTCACTGTAGTGTGCGCTGGTCAGGCCCTATCCCCCGAAGCCCCGATACATTCGGGAGGGCGCGCCAGCATAATCAACCAATGACCACTCCCCACACCGTGGGGTAAGTGAGAATCATGTGCCCTGAGCAAACGCAGTGAGCCAAGAATGACAGCCTTCTGCATCTGCCTTCTGCATNACACACACACACACACACACACACACACACACACACACACACACACACACACACACACACACACACACACACACACACACACACACACACACACACACACACACACACACACACACACACACACACACACACACACACACACACACACACACACACACACACACACACACACACACACACACACACACACACACACACACACACACACACACACACACACACACACACACACACACACACACACACACACACACACACACACACACACACACACACACACACACACACACACACACACACACACACACACACACACACACACACACACACACACACACACACACACACACACACACACACACACACACACACACACACACACACACACACACACACACACACACACACACACACACACACACACACACACACACACACACACACACACACATACACACACACACAATAAACCTCCTCTCACTCCCTATACAGTTTTTGGCCACTTTTGGGTATTGACTCACTATTCAAGCCCAAAAAAATCTAAATAAGAAGAAGAAAAGATGATCGGAAAAAATATGAAAGTGACAAAGTAACCTCAAAAATAGCATACATCCATTGACGTATTTGTCGATTTGTTTGAAAATTTTTAAATTCTCTTTTTTTCACATTTTAAAAACTTGACAGCAACGACGAAATAGGAGTGTTTTCTAAATCAACGATCTCGTATTGTTTACTTGGTATTGGTGCTTCAGAAAATTTTTACAGGTCAGTTTTAGTATTATTATTGTCATCAACAGCATCACTAATGTTATTTTTATGAAGTTTTTTATTTACTTTTGTTACAGTATTTTCCAAACCGAGTTGGTGAAAACAATCCCAGTTGTTCATACAGCAATATCTGGTTGTCTAATCATTGGTAGGATGGTTGTTGGTAATAAACATGGTGTATTAGTGCCTGATTCAACATTTGACACAGAACTCCAGCACATTAGAAATGTACATGTACAAAGAAGTGAAGAAAGACTATCTGTTCTTGGAAATGTTATAGCCTGTAATATAGCCCTGATTCATCCAGAATTGGACACAGTAAGGATCTTACAAAATCTCATGAATTCAAAAGACTGGATACGACATATATGACAGAAAATCTGAATTGATTGTATAAGATGTGTTACAACCATTGAAGTAATAAAAAAACTTGTTCACACCACACCACAGTAAGCCCCCTTATTTGTATGGACTACCTAAAATCCACAAGAAGGGTGTTTCTCTCAGACTGTTCATGAGCTCCAGAGACTCAGCTACTCAAAACTTTTCCAGATTTTCACTTCCAAAAAAAAACTACAGATTACACACATTACAAAGAAATAATAGAATTGTAATATTGCCAGTGAATGTGTACTAAATAAAATCATACCACAAATAGAAATAGTCTTGTAATAGAAAAATCTTGATTTTTTTCTTGAAAATATAAACATCAGGAGAGTTTTTATATCGGTACCAAGATTGTTGAATATTTTCAGTGCCAGTTTATTCAGTGGTTCATTAGTTACATTATATTTAGATGAAAATAGGATGAAGAAAATAACTTTTCTCTGATTTATACTTAGTTTTTTGATTTGTTACAACTAGTTTCGTTTTGTTGAACCATTGACAAGTTAACTCGAGGGGTTCTTTTTTTGCTATAAACTAACAAATTTCACTGAAACTAATTATTCAGTCATTTGTAAAAACTCCATGTTACCACTTTCCTGAAGCTTGACAAAATTTGTGGACGTCAGGGTTCTTTTCTACTACAAAAACATATATCAAAACCACAATGTGGTACTATTTGATACATAAAACTCACCACTAACTTCTCTCCATGAAAGGGTTCATTTGTTTTTTTATCTCAAAATCTGGTCCCTGGATAGATTAGACAGTTGCATTAATAACAGGTGGGATAACATCTGTTATTCTCAAACAAGTTGCAGAATATATATGTGATCCTTTAGTGAATGATATCAATGAGAGCTTGTATCAGGGGTTTTTCCTGATGACCTAAAAACTGCCAAAGTTGTGCCTGTCTTCAAAAAAGGTTGTAGAGATGAGTTAAATAATTATAGGCAAATATCACTTCTTCCGTCACCTTCTAAGATCTTTGAACGTGTAGTATATATGAGACTGCTACTATTTATGGACCAAAAGAATATTTTGAATGCTCAACAATTTGGTTTCAGGAAAGGTACGTCTACTGAACTAGCAATTTTCAATTCAATTAAACATATCACTGAAAGTGTGGATAGGGGACACTCTTTGGTAGGCTTGTACTTTGATCTCTCAAAAGCTTTTGACACTGTAAACCATAAAAAACTTTCGAACAAACTATAAGGTAACAGTATTAGGGGTGTTAGTCATAAGCTCATTTAGTCTTATCTATCAGATCGTTCGCAAATTGTTGCTATCATGGATGAACAGGACGAATACCCGTCTAGCAAAGAAAATATCATGCAATGGGTGCCCCAAGGGTCAATTCTTGGACCCCTACTCTTCTTATTATATGTGAATGATATGTCTCATGCATTGAAACTTGGTAGTATATATCAGTTTGCTGATGACACATCGGTTGTTGTTATAGGAAATAATATATTGGAGCTCTCAACAAAAGCTTCAACTGTCGCACAAAGCATAAGCATGTGTTGTGAAGGAAACGCACTTAAGTTGAATGTTGGAAAAACGGGACTAATAACATTCAGTAAAAGAAATAACTTTGAATCATCCCCACTTGTGAAACTTAACTGCAAATCGATTCCAATATCAGATCATATAAAATTCCTGGGCGTTATACTAGAT